AAATCGGTTTATAAATATTTACGAGAGAATCAAAAAATAGATATTCGATGAATCCATTCATCATGCCCGTTTTGCAACGCCGAAAACTAGAACGTGGAGCTCAAGCAGATTAAGATAATACGCAGCAATATACTCGTAAGCCTAGCTGCTAGCCATCTGGCGCGTCCTTTCGTTGCTGAGAAACGACGTCCAGATTCCGAGGTTAGGTGAAAAAAGTAAGCAGTCGCGCAGAAATAACAGCGAGACCACCAAAAGCCAGGTTCGAACTCGACAAGTTCGATCCTAGGGGAAAAAGTCACAGTGCCACAATACAGTATCATGTCGAGACAAAAGCGAACCGTCCCTCTGAAAAAAGGCCTATAATAACACTACTGCCTTGCGGTAATCCGTCGGGTAGTCAAAGGCTAGAAAAGAAAACTTCGATATAAATCTGAACTGAAATGAACGATCCATCAGTACGATACTTCACAAACCACGGTCAGCCTTGCCAGCAAGTGGCAAAACTTCATACGCTATGACAACAGAAAATATTGCGATCGGCACGATTTATAGCCCAATACCGACCGGTCGAGGTAAATACGTCTGAAAACTGGCAATGAGACTCGAACCTACAACGTTCACACAAACACGATAATGCGGTTTCGCGAAGCCTAGGTTTAATGAATATGTTATTTCTGGCATATTATCGTTCAATATCTTATTTTTGACATCTTTCGGTTATACATTTTAGGTCATTCGCGTTTTGCAATTAATAGCTGATAGCTGCAGCAAATTTACCAATCGCATCATAATCAACAAAAATAACGATGATGATGACCGCCACGGGGATGATATCCATGATGATTGTGATCACGAGAGTGATGACAATGATGATGAACATGTGGTATCCACGATTAGGTGGCCATTACGCCGTTTAGTCTTCTTTACCCTTGTGGAACTCGTTTATCTAGCTACTTCAACAGAGCAACCAAGAGAGTTGATCTTATGATTTTTCGACTGCGAGACAAGACCTTTTGCTTCATAGGATACGGAATTTTCTATCAGTCCCAATGACTAATTCGCAGATACGGTCAAATGTGGCTTATTCTTCGCCCTGGTGACGTCTTTAACTTCCGGTTTCCATAAGGGAGCTTCTTTGCCACCAGCGGTTAAGTCAGGGCGCTTTAACCCGCAGCAGCATGAGGCCGAGGTAATTATGGTTGCTTAAACCACCACTTATTTCTCCATGTACGAAATTCGGCTGGATGTTTGATCATCCCCCGCTGGCATGTCGCCTTTTAACCGTTTTCTAAACTTGACCATATAAGGCTTCCTGCCCTATCCGGTAGGAAAATTTCGATACACTGTTATGGGTCGTACTAGAATTTGAAATTAGTATGGAGAGAACGAGACAAAGTTGTGGTGATCGGTCAAACTCCGCCACAGGTTTCACTCAAACATCGAACACCGTAAAAATTGTCAAGTGAAACCATGAACAGGTAGATTAATTATAGCTTCCCTAATTTATCACTATATTAGGTCTACTCAGAGAAGTCAAAGTGCTCAAGGAGGTTGTTCAATATGCGCAGGCCGTTGGCACTGGAAAAGTTCAGAACATGACGCCATTTGGATTCATATGGGGAACACAATTCTTATTTATGCCGCACCTGGTAATCGGTTCCAAAATCTGCGTTGAAACTCCCCGCTAGGAAGGTGTTTCGGATCAGCTAATATTTCGAAGGCATCAACTTCCTTCAGGAAGGATACGTAGCATAACTATACATTGGTTCATACATCTGCATCAGAGTCTGTACCGGCATTCACATCCTGACATTTTGAACGAAAATCTTTTCGTCAGGGCGAGCCAGTCAGCCGGAGGCTCGCCAGCATAGCCACCCATAGAGGTAGCACCATGGATAAATCAGCCAGAAATCAAGTCAGAAAAGCCTCCACCCATTTTACAGTTCGAAGACCTTGGAAATCCAGTAAGTTGTGAAAGATTTTCAAACTTTAAATAGCGCGCTGGTTTTCAATAAGCGGCTAATCGTTTAAATTTATAAGAAGATAATCAGAGACCAGAATCATGTTACATTTTGTTAAACAGCTCTACACAGAGCCCCTGGATGCGCTACTTTTACTTACACTGTCAGTAGTTGTCGCCCTAAACGGATAACGGATCCGTTAATCAGACGTACAACCTGGCTGGCTCCAAAAAAGCCTTTATTCTCGACTGAAGCAGCCGTTACATCAGTTCATGGCTCAACAGAAATTGGCCAGTAAGCTTCTAGGGTGAGTTACATCAGCTCCAGGATTCATGGGCTCTAGTTTCCCTCCATTTGTTTGCTAGTACCCCGGAAGCGTATATTTTACTGTATAGGTCTGGCAGTCATTTTCTAACTTTCGAATCGACTTCCTTCACGAACTCCGAGAATATACCATTACCTCATGCGGCTTTTCCATTATTGGTATTTTCAAGGACTCTTTCAACTCCTTCAGCTGTTTCAGGGACGGCAACAGATGGAGATGGTTGCCAGTGTCTCAAGATGTCAAACGGATGTTTATGTACCACTCCTCGGACGCTCTTACCCGTAATTATATGGAAGTTAGCAACCAGCTGTGCAGTCATGAAATTCTGGCTTTCCTGAGGCAAGTTGTAAACCGCGGGGGCTGCACTGACAAGATGGCGAAAAAAATTCAGTGTTTTACGATTTGACTTAGTAAAAGCGAACAGTGACCTTGTTTTACACCATATGATTCTTCTTGCTGTGTTCAGTGAATACAACAGCTCCCTCGCAGGTCTCGATTGCAGTTTGGATTGTTTTATACCATAGGAAGAGAGCTATCGGTATTAGCTTAAGCAGTGAATAAAACGAGACTTACAAGGCGGTGTTAATGAGCTACTGACGAGATTTTGTCCATTCAAACCTCTTTAGCTGTCGCATAACCAGTCAGTGGACTGAAAGTTCAAGCGTGCTTTTCGGCTGGATCGAGTCAGTGGCAATCGCAGGCCTACGTGAAAAACAATGGACGATGCTGACTGTTTGGGAAATCTTCGACTACAAATCTTGCAAGCGGTATCGGACGACGACAAATATCACACGATACGAAACAGAGATCCGGCGTATGGTATTTCCTGAATCTCGCCGATCTGAAAATATCACGTTGTTTGGTGTCATATTGGAGGCACTGGGTTCAGCGACGCCCAAAATAATCTCTTCTCCTGTAGATCGCTACCAGTGTCTTGTATATGTCTATCACGGGTCTGCCGCTCGTTCTGATGGCGACAGAATGCGGCAAATTAATGGTCAAGGCTTGAACGGAATCTTGAAGGAATCTCTAAGTTTACAGTTTATGTAGGTTGCGAGACCGTGTATCAGGTCATGTCTGGCAGAGACGAGGATGTACCGCTGATATTCAAACGAACTAGAATATCGATGTTGGTTGTGTAGAAGCATCGCGAGATCATCGCATCTTGCCGTGGAAATCCCCTTCGATGTCAAACTACATGATCCGAATGTACAGTACCAAAGATAGAACGGATCAGCCCTGACTAAACCATTAAGACCGTTAAGTTCGTGACATCATTTGAGAAAGTTCAATGGCCGCTGGATGACATTCGCTGCATTTTCACGCGTAGGGTCATGCTACGATTGTCGTCCCCCCTCATGCCAAGCATCGACAATCAACAAATGAAAAAACAAATCGAAAAGAATTACTTCGCTTACCGGTCCATCCTGGACTGTTTTGCCAATCAGAGTCTCCAAATAAGGCGGAATTCTGGTGACCTGAAGATTCGGCGGTGTGAAGAAGTGACAGCTTTTCATCGCCAACAATCTCAGAGCGCGCCACTGAAAATTTTCGTTGTTCACCAGCCTAAAACCATCATCAACAATAACCGATCACAGTTAAGCGCATCAGCGATGACAACGAGAGTCAATCGCTCAGATATGGTTATTGTTACTTCTCCGGTGAATTCGTCGGCAGATTCTGTGCTGACTGCTCAACGGCCTCTTTGAAAAACACGTCAACGTCAGGAACAAACTGCCTGAAATGCAAAAGCGAAAAAAAGTACCGCAAGCTCGACTAAAGGATAATGCATTACCTCTGCGGCTCCTTGCAAGACTCTAACTTGTCGGAGCATTGGTTCCACAGAGCGGTTAACACGGGATTGCCGAGGTCGTACAACAAACCCGGATTCCTCTTCCTCAAGCGCCTGCAATTCAAGTGATCAATATTGCGCGATGGAAAAACATTTAGCCGGTAATGATCCTGTGATATACGGCTAACACAACAAAATCGCATAGGCACACAACACCACTCACCGCCGTCGTCGAAGTAAGACTCTGCAGGGACGGTTCTCATTCCCTTGTTACACTTCGCCAAGCACAAATAACCCTCTACTGAACATCTGTGCCTCCTCTTCAGCATTCGGTTAATATATATGCTATGTATGTTAATGTGGAATTACAGACTATAATTCAGTACCAATTATTAACTCTTACCACCCTACTGCTAAGCCTAGGTTTAAACATATGCCTCTGCGCTGTATCCTGCAGGTACAAGGCAACGGCATAACTGAAGTTTAGGTTAAGACTTAGGCATAATGCGAAAAACGAGTTTCGACTGGACAACGAATCAGTCTAATCCGTGACCGGTACAGACCGAACGGTCAAATAATTCCAATCCATGCCGACAGGCAGATTACCACTGTGGGCGGAAACATATGCACCAGCTGCCATAGCCAAATGTTCGCATGATGTCTGCTTAGTTTTGTGTTAAAAGCGCAATTACTTAAAGGCCTAAATAAAAATCCAGCTGACGTCACTGTTCATGTCAAACGGCCGGTAGCACTGCCTACCGAACTTACAGCTATTTATTGTGACAAAATGTCGCTGCATGAATCAGTCATGTATTTTTCGCGAATATTATATAGAAGAAGTAAGGGGACAGACACAAAGGAAAAGAATAATTTTGATAATATCATTTCTTATAAAGCTTATCCTGAATTATTCTGAACCAAATGCTCTGATACTACGACCACGAAGACAGATGCTTTGCGCTATGCAGTTACTTACATGAAGTCTGTGAATTTAAAAGGATAATCGAATTATGCCGAAATTTTTTCTCACAAATTTTCGACTTAACTAAGATTTCTGGAACAAGCCTCGCTTTAAATTTAAATTTGAAGCCTAAATGCGCCAAAATCGTTCATACTTTTTGAATGGTCTCATGACGTCTCTGTCTGCCATTTTCGTAAAATCTGGACAACCGTTATTTTTCCACTCGTTCCACAGCTCCTCGCGTTCTAGAATATGCTGAAAGATCGCAACTAACACAAGCATAATGCTATGTGAAATTTTGAAGAGCAAACCTTTACAACTTCAGCGAAGTGTTTTCCATCCGGATGTGTCTGGGACAGCAAAACATAACACTTCTCAGTCATTTCGTTTATCCACTGCAACTGCTCGTCGGTTAAAACGCAAATCTTCTTGCTAAAGACAACGCGACGTCAAAGGCAGACAACAAAGTCTTAAGCCGCTGGCAAGTCATTACATTTCCGGCAACAGCAGCACCAAACAGGTGATCAGTGAGGCAGTGCGTCAGTTCTTTTTGTGCATTTAGAGAGGAGCAAGTGAGTTCGGTACATTTAAAACATATTGGGCGCTTAACCAACGATTCTTATCATCCTGCGATGTAGCGTCTGTGTTATTTCAGTCTAGGACATTAATATTTTACTACTCTGAAATATCCTATATATATATGGCGAAAAACTTTGCCTGTGCTACAAAAAACTACTTTATGACAGAATTACATTTTTAACTTGCTTGGAAACTTGGGCAATAAAAGTAGGAAACCTTTGTGGGACTGGGACTGTTACTGCGTGTACGTCGTCATGGGATTGCTATCTACTGTCTTCCCCTTTTACTACATAAAACATGCTATGACAAACGAGCGTTGAAAAATGGTCAGTCGCTGGCCTTTAGAGCTGTCGATGTAACGAAATAATTTAACTAAGTTGAAAAAAGTCACAACTAAACATAAAATGGCAATTAGCTTTTTTAATCATTGTTGTGAATTTGCGCTTTCGTGAACCATTATACTGGCAGTTACATCCACTGACCACTGCATATTTTATTAATTCCTTGGCTCCTCAAGGAATTCAATCAAATGTGGACTGAATCCAAAATCTTCTCTAAAGCCAAGAATCCCAGGCAGAGGGGAAGCTGATATTCTCTTAATTATTTGTTGTTCCATCTAAAGATGGTCCATCGTACTAAATCTACTTCTGAATCCTGCTGGCTCCTTTGGCTGAGCAGCATTCAAGTTTTGTAGAAGTCTGTTCATCAGTACACTCGTGAAGATCTTGTGGAGAACTGGTAAGAAACTGATTAGCCCGGTTCCCCAGATTTTCTTTGTCTCTTTTTCTGATAGAGCAGAATCATTGATGCGGGACTCCCGTCATGTTGAATTTTCCTATCCTTCAAACAGCGCGAAAAAAGCGCCACTATCTTAGTCAATGCTTCAACTCATGATTCCAAACGTTCAACTGTAATGCCGGGTTCGCCACAAGCCCTTCCTCAATTCGCTTGTTTCATTGCATGTCGCACTTCTTCCAGCAAGATATATAATCATTTAGATACGGGGAAGGAGTTATGTACCAGAGCTTAATAAAATCGCTACTAATACGTTGACCCTGAGATGGCAAACATTTTTGTAAAATAAGGTGCGCGTATTATACAGCGTGGTACTTTTATGCAGAAGTTCTCAATGAGATATTTGAATATATCTGTCCTTTGGGTCATGTAAGCCACAAAGTCATTTTGATTATTCGGCGTACGTCAGCCTACAGTGTGTCAACATTTTGATCCAAACCAGCTTAGAACTGTTTGAAACGCACGGAAAAGACAAGCATAAAACTGTAACACAATGGAAACGTCCGCACGATAAAAGATTAAACACAAAACAAAGAATTACTCAAAAACTAGTCGAAATCGCAGTAATCGAAACTTACTCTTTAAACTTGATGTCAGCCGTCAAGTACTGAAAGGTGATTAAGAACTGTGTCAGAATCGAGCGCCGAAAGTTGCTGTCGCTAAGCTGCAATTGTATCAGCTAGAAAAACGGAACGTGAGACGCGAAAACTTATGAACGATCCACGAACCCTTTGGTTGGTCAGGTACTTTGCAAAATACTCGTTTTTCAGACAAGGCTCTTTTTTTTCATCTTCGATAGCCTGAAGTACTTCCGTATCGATCATTTCGACATCAGGCACTTTGGCTGGTTTAAAAGATGCCTCCTTCTCGTCACTCGGCGCCGGACATACATCCGGCTTCGACAGGTCAGCGTCCTTGCAAAATCTTGGTTTCGTATGATTGGTATCTTCCAGTTTCTGGCATGCAAACGTCGAAAGAATTTCGGCCGTATTCTAGAGAGAGAGTTTAAAGTTGGTGATGGTAACAAACGACTGTGAGGGCCAAGATTACGTGTTGAAACTGCCGCCAGCCAAATTTCTCATAACAATTAGTGGGTGCAGCGAAAAACGACTGTAACTGCCAAAATTTGCAGTACAAGTTGTAGTCGACAGGACTGGTCCTAGAAATTCTGCCAACGATTACAAATCTGACCGAAGTCGACACATGAAAAACAAACAACCTGGGTTAAAAGCGCGTATTTCATGTGATC